TAAAGTAAAATAGCTCATTAATTATTTTTTATACTGATGATGTTGAAATGATAATCTTTTGGTTGTAGTGAGTTCATATACTAATCTATTTTCACATATTTTTAAATTCATTTCACCTGGTTTTTTTATTTTAAAAATGCGACTACTGGAAAGTGGAAAATTATGTACGTGGCTCACACTCTACTTCAACTGGACAGCACTGAGCTAGAATGCTTTGGACCATCCCACGATTCCCTCCATAGTCTCTGATAACTTGGGTTTTCCAAGTTACTTCATGCTTATTGGAATACCCACAGGTATTTGTGTCTCTGGAGGAGGTGTTCTCTGTGCCTAAAGCTATAATGCCCTTCTTGCTTTTCATCCCAGCATTAAGTCATTTGGCTCGGAATCAAGTGGAGAGATTGAGGTCTGGGTGGCTCAGAGAAAGCCTCGCTTGCCCGTGTTGTGGGAGGTTGGCTCTCTTTCTCCACATCTTCCTGTTGTGGCTGAATCTGCTAGAGTGAGTTGTTCTTGAAACAGCGTGGCCCATATAGGTTCTGTGTAGGCTTCAGCAACTTGACCCCAAGCTGTGGTCTGCAAATAACTGTCAGCCGCATCCTGCTTCACCCAGAGGGATTGGGGAAAACAGCCCGTGAAGGAGAGAATAGTATTTTATGGAGGAGAAATGCAAGGACCTGCTTGGCTCATGTGCCTGGAACACAGAATCTGAGTCGGTGTTAGTCTACCCTGACATCCCCTATGGGACTGGCCAGCAGGATCTGGATGCTCTTAGGAGACACGTAGAGACTTCACATTCCACCTACAGGAAGATCGGCCTCACACTCCCTGTAACTTCTGCTTCTGTGACTGCAAAACACCTTCCTAAGGTGCTTCCTTAAGTTCTGAACCCTGCAGCATGGAGCATGTCACACATAACCTGGGTGGGAAGCTGTCCTCGGGGTTCCGGAGAAGCTGTGAGCACCTATCCTGTATGGAGATGAAACTAGCTATGGGGTTAGGGTGATGGCTATATTATGGATGATTTTTTTTTTCTCTTCTTGAAGTTTGCTTTTAACCCACTGCGTATTTCTTTTTAAAAACAAGTCATAGGCACACGCCTGTGCGCGGCTCCTACAGAAATCCTAAAGACAACGCAGATTTGCTTAATTGTTGCACAGCATTAACATCACATGGGAGA